GGGGTGCGGGGCCCAGCGGGGGTGCGGGGGTCGGGGCACCGTGGGGGTGTTTTGGGGTGGGCGGGGTTGGGGCAACCCCCGCGGCGGGGGTCCGGGGGTCAAACCCCTACCCCGGCTTTGCCCCCGGGGGCCCCCGCCTGACAACCCTGGTGGGAGGCACTAGACTTGGCGATGTCACCGATTCCTTTTATGGGGACAGGAAGCCTCGGGGGCCTCCCGAACGGGTGGTTGTGCCCATAGTAGGTCTGCGCGCGAAACTCGTTGCAGAGGCAGCGGGTGTTGCCAAGAAGGACTGCAAGGAAATCCTTCTTGAAGCTTGCAAGGATATAGAGAAGAACAATGCTAGTTTAGAATCAACTATGTATAGAAGGTCCAGAAGTAGGGGTGACGTTATGCATGAAATGTTTGGGCCGCAGAGTGGCAGTTCGTCGGACCCTAGTCGCTAGGGCTGCATTTTCTCATAGTCCTCCGTCCGTTGTGCTTGCTGTGTGTTGCGAGTGTTTGTTGAACAGGGTTTCCTTGAGATGGAAGAGCAGTCCTTGAAGACGTTATCCGCTCTCGGTTGCCGCTCACTTTCATCGCTGCGCATTTGCTGTCACACAATTTACAGGTCTCGTTCAAGGACATCATCACACTCGTGGATGGATACGGGGAGCTCAAAGATGAGGTTGTCAATTTCTACATGGCGATGCTACTGGACGACTGCGGCCGGACTGCCGCTCACATAAAAACGTACACCTTTAACTCTTTCTTCGCCTCTACATTGCTTCTGCGAGGTCCGACAATTGTAAGCAGATGAGCTAAGGATGTAGACCTCCTGTCTCATAACCTCGTTTTGGCACCAGTGCACAAGGGCGGCGAACACTGGAGCCTTTTGGCCATTGACTTATCTGGGTGTGCTTTGGAAATCTATGATTCTTTCCTGTGTTCGTCATCCAAAGATGACTTCTATTCCACAGTTTTCGGTAAAACTGTTGATTTTTTGAACACGGTGGCAAGTGTCGCCAGTGATGGTCGCACTTTTGACCACTTCGGGTGCGAGGTCCGCGTGAAAGGTGTCCCTCAGCAGCGCGACGGGGCTAGTTGTGGGGTGTTCATGTTGATGTTCGCTTCCTGTTTGTCGAGAGGTTTACACCCACCTTTTGGTTTCACCCATAGACACATCTCGTCTATCAGAACTAGACTGGTGTTGGCGATTTGTAGTGTTGGTAGGTGAGCGTCTCGCCATTTGTTGTTCATGTAGTGTAGAAGGGTTGACGTAGAATAACATTTCGTTCTTCGACGGATGAAATTTTCTCTAGTAGGTTTTTTCGCATTGGTTCAGAGCTAAACTGGCTGACGTTGCCAGGATATCTCCAGGTGGAATTGTCACGTCCCCGGCGTGTTTGTGCTCCACATTGTTGTGCTTCTACGTGGCTTTCAATTATCACCAACATCCCCGTTGTTGGGGTGCCTATTTCGTGATTGTCTTTCTTGCTTTTGTCATTGTGTGGTGTGATGTTCTGTCCACATACTTGGATGCATCCGAACTCCTGCTTCCGTTGTCTAGACTCGTCTATACATTTTCATTTTGAATATTGTAAGGCATCACATAACGCAAAATACAACGCACAAGCCTCTTTCTACATTCGATGGTCCGTCTGGTCCTCTGCGCTCAGTGCTTTGAATATTGTGAGGCATCACATAGCGCAAAATACAACGCACGGGTCTCTTCCAACACTCAATGTTGTCAATTCTTTGGGCCGTCAAAGCTCCCCGTCTTCAAGAGCATTCAAACAATCGGTTCCTATGCATTAGCCAATACAATGAAAATATTGAATGTAGCGAGGGAATGAAAACCCGAAAAGCGACGCCGATTGGTACTAGAAAGTGACGACATTTAAAATAAGTTAGCCCTACTGAGCAAAAAAAAAAAGCATGATTGGACAAAATTGAATGTAGCGAGGGAAGGAAAACCCGCAAGGCGTCGCCGATGGATACTAGAAAGTGACGAAATTTGAACTAAGATAGCGCTACTGAACAAGAAAACATTGGATGATTGTATAAGGCCTCAATTTCCGGGATTGAACCGTGCCCCAATCCGACACAGGCATAAAAGACTAAAGCGACTCTATTGATACGATGCTTCGGATGCATCCGAAACAAGAAATGTGGTCGATGATGGTACATGCTTGTCTTATCGATCTGTCAACTGTGTGGAGTGCTCATTTGCTCTTTGGTGTGGACTCTCTCTCTCTCTCTCTCTCTCTCTCTCTCTCTCTCTCTCACGTGCGCGCGCGCGCTCGTGCTCTCTCTCTCTCTCTCTCTCTCTCTCTCTCTCTCTCTCTCTCTCTCTCTCTTTCTCTCTCTCTTTCTCTTTCTTTCTCAACTGTGTGTAGTCCGTAGCAAAGCGACTCTATTGATTGGACATTTCGGATGCATCCGAAACACGGAAATGTGGTGGATGATGGTACATCATACAACAATGCTTGTCTTGTCATCTCTCAGCTATGTGGAGAGCTCATTTGCTCTTTGCTACGGAAATGTGGTGGATGATGGTACTATGTTAGCTTGTGTGGAGTATTCATTTCCTCTTTGAAACTACCGAAAGATCTCTCTCTCTCTCTCTCTCTCTCTCTCTCTCTCTCTCTCTCTCTCTCTCTCTCTCTCTCTCTCTCTCTCTCTCTCTCTCTC